AAAAAAAAAGACAAAGTCCATACACACACACCACCGCGCGCAACTTACTAATTTGTCGCGGTGCGCGACATCTCCTCCCTCAGGGCAGCGACTACGCCAGTCTTCTGTGCGCCCGTCAGTGGCATTTGGTGATCCAGTGCCAGCTGGATGTCCTGGGGAAACTTTGGCAGTTCAAATGCATAATTGATCCTGCCCAGCTCCGCGGGCCGTGGCTGCTTCCAGCTCTCCACGACAGCCGGGGCCACCTGCGGTCGCGCACGCACAACTGACACCACCTCCTCCACTGGTGTCTCGGCGACGACCACGGGCTCTGTAACATGCACGTGCATTACTCACAAATCACAACTACAGACTGTACGCACTGACTTACTACCGACTTACGTTTTCGTGCAAAGACGATTTCTGCACCGTCCTCCAGCTCATACAGGTCTGCATGTGTCAGCACAAACCGACGTTCGACGCCGTTGACGAATTCGAGGCGCATGACTTTGAAGTCGTCCGCTGACATCCCAGACGGTAGTTCCATGGCGAACTTGGCCATCAGCGCATCCCACAGCACTTCCTTGGACACCAGTAAGCTTTCCTCTGGGGACAACTTGATGCGGTAGCAGCCATCGTCCAGGGTGACGGTGAATCGCTTTCCCGCGAGCTGCACATGTGGTCCACCTGTCTCCATGAACGGGTTCGCCGACTGAAGGTTGTACAGGTCAGCCATCCTGGAAAACAAAAGTTAACGACAATGTAACTCATGTCACACTGACACTCCCATGCGTGCAAAGAAATGCAAGTACCGTAGCATGTAGTAATGCCTTTGCGTCAGTTGATGTCAGTACCGTCAGTAAGTCCCCCCCCCCCTCTCCATGGCAACCCTCCCAGCACAACCCACTCCTCCTCTCCTCTCGAGTAAGCGCCTGCAAGCCTTCGGTTAGGCCACACCGCACTACAGGCATGCCCTGCACTGCAGCCATTGCCTACCTAATAGGCGCTGGCCGGGCTTGCAGGACCAGTTAGTGGGCAGCGTTCGACCCACCCTTCTACCCCTAAGCCCCCCCCCCCCTCCCCCCTCAGAACAGGGCGTGCCGCAACTTCAAGTAGCGCTTCCCAGCAATGGTGTGCGCTTCTAGAGTCTGTGCTGGGTGCAACAATGCTGCATCGACAACTACAAAGTTGGCTTCTTCTTCTTCTTCTGGAATTTCAAAAGCATGAATGTGGTTTGAAAAATCAAGGGAGGCCACCATGTAACCACACGCAAATGCTGTCCCACCCCTCACCACGACCAGGTCCACTCTGAGAAATACTACAGTTTGAGTAATCTCGACTGCAGCCATAACGTTGTATGAACCACGGCGTACTAGAGTACCGTGCACTTTCAGCTGCAGTACTGAGCCCAGGACCTCTCCCGCATCGACGCCATGCTCTTGCATCAACGCCTCCCGGACCGGATGTGGCAGTGCAATTACGGGGCAATCCCGCTGACAGGAAGTCACATCGATGGGATGCCTTAGACAATTTTCCCCGGGGTACAGGAGAGCGCGCTTTTTCTGTATTCTCTCTGAGGCGGTTTTCGTTACCTGGGTGAAGTTATTGCAGGTTACAATAATTCGTTTCTGGTACAGGTGAAACCCCTCGAAGGTCAAGCACAGTCCCACCCGAGGGCAGCCGACCCTGGTAGTTTGAAGGGCGTAATTCATAATGTAATGCATTTTGGGGGTGTACTGGTCGCCAACGTGCTTAACCCACAAGTCATGGTGCAGGCGCACAGCATGCACCAGGTCAGACAGCATGCTGTTGGAAATTCGGACAGCCAGAATGATTTCGACGATCCTCACAGCGGCGAGGTGCATCTTCCAAAATGGGTTTCCCTCCGGAACAGACCCAGCCAGAGCAAGGCTGAAAATGTACATGAGGTTCATCTTTTGCACACACGACCCCTTTATGTCCCTTTTTGCCCCCTTAATGCCTTTCAGATGCACTTTAAAGTGCAGGGGTGGGGGTTTGTTTGCACGCTCGGCGGGGCCCCATTCGAAGCCGTCAATTAGCCGCCTCAATGTTCTGCCGTGCAATGCAGAGTACTGGGGCCCCTGACGGACAGGTTGACTCAACTTCTGCAGAGTGGCCTTGGTCACCCCATCGGCCCTTTTCCTGTGTAATCCGCGTATACACGCCTTCAACGTTAAAGCCAGGAACGAAGTCAAGGCGTCATGTAAAGGATCGAAAGGAGCCTGATTTGGGAAAGTGAAATGTGGAATTTGCAGTAATACTGAGGGTCCCTTGATGTGGGGGTAGGCTGCTTTAGTCTCAGGGAATCGTACAACTGCCTCCACCTGATTCGAATGCCCTGCGTGGGTCCGCAGGGTGCACTGATCCTCTGACTTTGTGTCGGTCAGTTCACTGTGATCTACCGTGCAGAAACGGCAAACCTCCCCACTGCTGAACCCACCCATGCCGGCAAACTCGTGGACAGCTTTGTTGTCTCCCACAAAAACGGCAACAGCACCAAACAGCCGCTGCCGTCTTCCATCCTTAACCGACACTTCAACCCCAACTTCGGCTAACTCCCGGAGCTCGTCCAGTACAGGCCTCATCAGAACATCACGACCAAACCTTTTTACCCAGCGAGTCCTCACCAGCAGAGCAAGGTGGATTGAGTCCTGGTTTGATAAGTATTTCGGCCCAACATTTTCAATTTGGAATGTTACTCCGAGTGTCTGATGACGCCCCTGGTTTCCCTTCAACGCGTCTGTGTAATCCAAATCGTCTGCGAAAAGACGGATGCGCAAAGCACGGGGTTCCCTCTGGAACAGTGGGTGTTTCCCGTACTCACTCCCGGTCCTGAAATCGGAGGTGTAGTAACCTTCTTCCGGGGGGGGCTCGTTCAGAATGCTGTCCATTACATCAACGTGGGAACAGTACACCTGTACAGATCGCAGAATGCTCACGAAATGCATCTTTGGCCGCCGCTTGTCGGAGGGGAGAGGTTCCTGTCCCACAAGATCTAGTATGTCAATCTCAGTGGGGGCCACGTA